CAATCGGCCATGGGAGGGAAGACAAGAATCAGACAGAAAATATATTTCCTGTCTTGCAGCTGGTCACAGTCACAACACAAAGTGGCCCCAGGGCAGGTTGGCCACAAATATTTCCATTGTGGCATGCTTGCTCTAAGACATAGTGATTTAGAAGTTATCTTATTGTGGTTATTGCTATCATAATACTGCCATATTCTCTTTGCATATTAACTTATTGTCATGCATGTTTATCATTATTATTTGTCACAATACATGTATATTTTTATAAATCTTGTGATTTAATTGTGTGAAATATACATTCACTAATAAACATGTTCAAGGGTTTAGAAGAGTTAACATTAGTGAGTTGACTCTTAGCTTAAATAAGGGGGATTCAGTGCCATAATATTATTATTTTTTTATATTAACCCCATAAGGACTAAGCCAAATGTACACGTTGGATGCTGTCCAGGAGGTGGGAGGGTCTGGGTGGGAGGGTCTGCTGCAGAGTGGCCGGGATGTGTCAGCTGACCGTAGTTCGTGGCGAACGGCTCATGGCGAACCGCGTGAACCATTCGCGAAAAGTTCGCGAACAGTTCGCGACATCACTAATTGTATCGTGTTGTGCTCCTTGAAACAACCACATCGTCTTTTTCTAGAGCAACTTGTATTTCTCCTGAAGTTACCTGTGAGGTTTTTTTGGATCTTGAACAATTCTTCTGGCAGTTGTGGCTGAAATCTTTCTGCACAATATTGCTAATATGCTATGGAACCGATCTACTAAGCGCTAACACTTTCAATTCACATACATATACACGTACACACAGAATGACACACAAATACAAATGACAACCATTCAAATACACAAAATGACACTCATACAAATACAAACACTGACACACATTCAGATACACAGACACACACAGACATGCAGGGGGGAGACTAACACACATGCAGATACACAACTACACAGACACACAAAAATATGATACACATACAGACACACCTGCAGATAAACAGACAGACACACACCAGATATTTTCACATACACAGATACAGACAGGCCGGCAAAATGTACACATATTAAGCCTCCCTCCCATTTTCTACCTTTAGGGTGCAGGACGGTGGCTTCCCTGGGACTGCCTGAGGCTGTAGGAAGTCAGAATTTCCCCCACTGGCTGTCCCACCCTCCCAGTGCTGACATTAACACTGGGGCCTGGCTGTGCTATTAAAGGGCCACAGCGCTGACCAAGCCTCTGAGGAAACTTTGCCATCGGGTGGCCCTAACTGCTTGATTCCGCCACTGATTTCCCCAGTTAGAGGATTACTCCAGCCTTTATGACCACTTCTGCTTTTAGAAGTATGGAGCAAGAAATCTGTATGTGCAGCGTTTCTGCTTGAAACATATAGAGATATCTGCACTTTTGTGTTGGACACTAGTTGCACCCCCGGCACATGTAACGTAGGCAGTCCAGAACTACTACTCCGGTTAGGCTACCTCATGTTAGTTCTGTGGAAAAATTACATCTGCAGGCAACTTGCTACACATGTTGGTGGCAGATGGAATGAGATTCATTGCTTGCAGGCACCTCTGTGAACCCTTTGAACTGTGTGCATGAGATTCGGGCATTAAAGAAAAGAGGTGTGAAGGCAATCAAGAAGAACCTGGCAAAATAAAAAGAATAAATAAACTGATTGGAGTAACTAAGTGTGGCCAGACAATGCATATATTGCTGGTTAAAAGTCACAGATTCTGTACTTTAGATACAACATACATATCTGTAACATCATTTAGTATCAGTAAAATATAACACGTGGGGAAAAAATACATTTCACTGTTCTAACTGTAATAATTTATACACACGTAAAGAAAACCTATGGATTTATTTTTATTGATTTCAGCAAAAATGTCAATGGAAGTGAAATATTTTTATAATTAATTATTGTGTAGAGTCCCAGTTTTTCATCTCACCACACAATACCATCCGCACCACTATGATTCCATTAATCTAGTTGTTGACACTCCGCTATATAAGCCAATCATAGCATGGACCATGTTTTCAGAGACCTAGTGTTTATGCGTTAAAGAGTAATGGAATTACTCCATAATTCTATTTGACTTCCCTCTCTGTACCTAATTCCTCCTAAAGGTAGCTGTTTTCTTTGCTGAATTAATTGATTGGCCATGGTTAGAAGTTGTTTAAGTAAGGATTTTGGGAAGAAATAAAATAAAACTGAAGCAGGAGAGAACAGTACTGATATTTGTGTTATTATTTTAAGAAAGGATAAAATTAGTTTCAAACATCTATCTATAATTGGGCAGGACAACTAAACATGACTTCTAATAAAATTAATCAGCCGTAAGGGGTTCATCCAGGGTTCACCCTGAAGATACTGGTATAGGTAGTAGTTTTAATTCTAGAAGATAGATATGTTTGTACTTCAGAAAGGGCTGGTGATGAGTTTCACAATTTATATAATTTGTAAAAATAATCTAGAAACACTTTAGTGATATCTGATATGAGATGGGACAGATTCCATTGTGGCATTTATATTTTTAGTGTAAAGGTGGCCTGTCTCCTCTGATCAGTCATTAACCTCCTACATATGCGTCCTTGTGCATATTATATACTTTTAATTATTAGAAGTTTGTGTTTGTTTGGGAGTTAAACAGGGATTTTAATTTGTGTTTTTAGTTTTTTTGTTTTTTTTATCTACATGGAAAAAGTGGTCAGATAGCTTGTACTCGTGACCTTTTCTGTTTGGCCACTATGCTAATAAGGATCCCCCTCAGAACATATTTGTGCACTTCAAAAATTATAATAGAAACCTATTCCAAGGAATTATTTTCCTCAAGTAGTTACGAATGCCCTTCCATACCTGAGAAACAATTTCATTATTGTTAGAAGGTCATTCAACTTCCACTGATTGGGTTTTTGAGGGAGGTACGGATTGGTGATGATAAGAGACATGGAGCATAGTTGGACCAGGTTATGGAGCCATAATCAATATATTGAAAAAGGTGTATAATCATTGAGTGTAAAAAGAACATGTCCAACCTGGAGTATGATTTAGTGGCTGAGGAAAAGAATGAACAATCTCTCATGGAAGGGTGTATAATCCTCCAACAGTCAAACCTGAACTTGGTCTAGAACGGATAACATAATAGTTCTGACACAGCATTATTTACACAGAAATAAAAAAAAACATTTTATCATATGATGATTTACCCCTAATTGTAAGTTTTGCTCCAAATGCGACAATTCACCTATTATTTTATATTTTATTATTTACCTGCTAAATTATATATATATATATTATTCTTTCTGTATATTGTATTTCATTGCCATTGCCATGTGTTATATACATCTTATAATATACTTTCTATATTTATTCCTTAATTACTATATTTTAACCTATGATAATTCAGATTTTTAAGCATGTTATCGAGACCTCATGGGTAGGGGAGACAAAGATACCCACCACTCTTCAACCAGGGTAACTATCGTTTTTTTTTAAATAATTTGGCTTACAATTCCCATTTGGTTTATCAAGTTTATCAATATTGAATTGTATCTATAATCCCCTAAATCAAGGATGATTAAAGCCGATTTAAAATTATGAGAAATAATGTTTAAATATATGCAGCATGCTATAATTAGATAACACTGCCTTTTTTTTTTTTTAGAGGACGGGTTGAAAATGCTTCACACAAGAGATCTGCAGCTTGTGTAAGCTGTTTTAGATATACCTGGAATGAAAACATGCATAATTAAATAAATGCCTGTTCATTGGTGGTATATCTACTAAACAGTATTTATATATATATATAAAAAAAAATTGTATTTGGGAATTGGAATATCCCTTTAAGTTGCATATCTACCGTACCGTAATATTTGGTCACAATGAGGTAGGAGAACAATCACAACTTACAATAATTATAATTACAATCTGTTTTTATAATAATAACATAAAATGAACATTCTAGGTTCAATAACCACTTCATCTCACTGAATTGGCTAGGATGCCTGGACTCCTCTCCTAATGTCCAACTCTTCAGTGTTACACCATTTTTTGAATTGTTCAGCCCTGAATGTGTTATCCTGGCCATTACCTGTTGCTCCAGTTTATACTTCCATATTAGCCTAAGCAGTGATGGCACCTACAACAGACTGAGTGGGTCAGCCTATCACCTCTGCCCATTGTTAGTATGAGTTGGTATAGATAATGTGGAGTTGCAGGTTCTCAGAAACTCTCATTCAGTGTTAAACCAATAAAAATGGCTTAATTTCTAATCATGAATTATTTCCAAGGGACTTCTGACACCATAACCCTTCTAATGAGATGTAGTGTTCAAGGTGCTTAGAGTATCCTTTTAATCAGAAAATAAGTGACACACATTGCAAACTACAAACAGGTAAATTACAATTTGGACAGGGTATGCCAGCTATAATTACAATGAATTGCTTAAATATCTTGTCTGAGCTATTTCAATATATATTTTGATAACATCTCTTACCTCCTGATTTCTTAGACTGTATATCAAGGGGTTAAATAATGGAGTGCCCACTGTGTATAATATTGAAAGAAATTTGTTAACATTAAGGGCATTTACCTTGTAAGGTACCATGTAAATAATAATGAGAGGCCCATAATACGAGCAGACAGATGCCAAATGGGAGCTGCAAGTGGAGAAGGCTTTCTTCCTTCCATTGATGCTGGATATTCCGAGGATAGCCATAGAAATGCACACATAAGTCACAATAATGAAAACAAAAGTAGATAAGACTACCGGGATGGAGAGCACAAGGACTTCTGTTCTCAAGAGTGTAGTGTCTGAACACGAAAGTTCTACAAGTGGTGCAAAATCACAAAAGTAATGATCCAAAACATTTGGACCACAGAACTCAAGCTGACATATAAGAATAATTGTTATGAGAACTAAAGAGAAACTCAATGACCAAGATAACAAAACTACCTTATTACAAAGCTGAGTATCCATTACTTGAGTGTAATGCAGTGGTTTACAAATGGCCAGATATCGATCGTAGGACATCACAGTAAGTAGAAAAGATTCCACTGTACCCGAGGCAATATATATATAGAATTGTGAAATACAACCAACAAATGGCATAGTGCCCCCCTCTAATAGTATGATACGTAACATGTTAGGGACAATGTTTGTAGTTAAAAGTAATTCTGACAGTGACAGGTATTTTATGAAGTAATATATTGGATATTGAAGTCGCTGACTTACTGACATCAGTACTAAGATTGTGAAGTCCCCGATTATAGTGGTCAGGTAAATAGAAAACAGAATAACAAAAAGTATAAACTTAAAATAATATTTTTCACTTTGGATTCCAATTAGAAAGAACTCACTGATCATAGTTTGGTTTTTTGGCATTGTGCTTTCATGCGGTATCCATAACATTATAACATGTTGCATTATTAACTAAAATCCCAAATCCATAAAATCATACCCATGTATGGTTTGCATTTAGATCTAAAAAGAAAGTAAGAAATATAATAAGACAGAAAAATAATTGAATTATAGTGTACAGATGCATAACTGTTCTTATGATTATCAATATAATAATTATTTTTATAGCACCTGGCAAAAATAAATAAAGAAGGGGGGAAGAGGAGGAAAAGAGGGACCTGCAAGTCACAAGAAGAAGAATATGTCAGATGATTTAGTCTGGAATGATGCCTGTATGTAGGTAAACTTGCAAAACAAACTAAACTGAAGTATGGGAGATCTGAAGGGTGTAGAGGGTGTGCGGAAATGCGAGTTATGTGAAGAATGATGGAATGACTGGTGTAGAGAATGGGTTTGTTGCTTAGTAAGTAGATATGGTTTTCAAAGAGATTTCTGTTGGGTGGGGATTAGGGAAAGTCAAATAGGACAATTTATGGCATTCCTTGTGAATAATGGTGTCCTTAAACTAAGAAATATTATTGCAAATATAAACAGAGGACAAGAAAAAGATAGAAGAGAGATGGCAATAAGTGAATTGCAACAGTCAAGCCGAGAAATTATTTACATGTGTGAACAAATGTATCTTTTTCATTTATATTAAAGATTTAGAAATCATTGTATATTGTAACCATTTTAATCATTGTATTGTATTTTTCCAGTTTCTGTATTATTTTCATATGCTAACTGCTGAGTTGGCCTTGCAAGTTATCAAACATCTGATTCTGGAAACATCTGTGGTTGTTTCCGATAGACACCTAATTATGCACAATCAGGAATGTTCCGAGTTAAAAATTGAATTAATAACATAATACTGACATGTTAAAACAATCAGATTAAACATACCTTGTATTATGCAGAGGAACACTGGAAATAATATTTAGGTACACCATGAAATCAAAATCTAAAAAGTATTTATTAAGCCAGTCCCCTAAACAAGTATTCTAAATAACAGACATACCGTAATGATCGCAGGAACTAATGAGGAGCGAGTTATCCCTTTCCGTTTATATAGAGCTGAAATTACATTTCATCAGTAACTGCTTGGAAAATTGGTCCCTTAGGACACAATCAAAATGCACCCGACGGTAAATCTTTTAGGATTAAATATATTTTGAAACATATCAAGAGGGGACATTTAATTAGAGCAATTGTGGAAAACAGTAGACGTTGCAGTATCTCCTTAAAAATATAAATTATATTATTATTATTATATATTATAACATATATTATAATATTAGGAAA